GTTTTCTTTGCATATATCTAAGCTTATTGTCATGAACTATAATTTTGAAAGCAAAAATTTCACTGAAATATGCTGGAAAATTTTCAAGTTTTCATCTGAAATCAATAAAGTACAAACTTTTAGCAAAATGATTAGTTGTAAGTTGCTTTGAAAGTGGGAATCGCATTATTATTGGATGGCAGAAAACAATGATTGCCAGCAAGTGAAAAAACCCAAGATGCAGAGTATGAATTGGAGATGTCAAAATCAAACAAAAAGTCTTTTAGCAGATGACAGAAAATTCCAATGGAATTGCAAATAATGATTTCCACAAGCCTGTTTGGTTGTTTGTTTTTTTTTGTGGCATATCAACCACAGTGGGTTATTTAATGCTGACAAAATTTTTATTGTTGGTAATTTTTTTTTTCAAAAAATGTATTGCTGGTAATATTTTTTTTTCAAAATTTTTATTGCTGGTAATAATTTTTGCAAAGTATTCTGGTATTAAAACCTATTTTTACATTTTCATAGTTTTGAACCCAATTTGGGGGTTAACTATTTACCCATAGCTGGGACCCTAACAGATGCTACCACCCCAGGTCAGGATGCACCTGGGAACACCAGCAATTAAGAGGTGGTTCCACGCTCCTGAAAACCTCCTGATCAGAGGCCTTGCTGTTGGATGTAGTTAATCGTCTTATCCAGGACGTGGATGTAGTTTATTGTCATACCCAGGACGGTTCCACAAGCTAAGCAAAATAATAAACAGGAGGAAAATTTCTACATCTGCAAATGAAGTTCTGTGTGGACACGGCACACTGATTTTCAATCAAGGTCAACTCCAAGAACAGCATTAAGTCATCACATGTCCTTCACAGCACAAATCATCGGGAATTTCAATCCGTTAGTGTCAATCCTGGCTTTTGGGAAGTTTACTTGCAATAGGATTGCAGGCAGGCGCTCCTCTAGCCAGATTTCCACTTATAGCACGGTGCCATTGTACACGTATCCAATGCTGTTGATAGAAGGTAGCTTAAGGGGATTAAATTGTGATCCGTTTGTTCAGTGAAGATATCGAGTTTTGCTTTCCTGCAAGTGATGGTCGTTTAAACAAAATATTAAGAAACAATTTTTTTCATATTATTGTCTAACCAAAGTGTATGTCTCTCTAATTGTAACTTGCTTTGAAAGCGGGGAATTGCATTATAATTGGATAGCAGAAAACAATAGTTGCCAGCAAGAGAAAGCGCCAAAGATTCAAGACATGAACAGATGATGCCAAAAATCGCACAAGTACAGAAGTTTAAATATCTGGGAGGTGTTTTTGACAGAAAATGTAACACTGAAATCTAAAGGCATAAATGTTGCCTTCCAAAAACTAAACAGTATTAAGAAACAGGAAAATTTTGTTAGAAACAACGAGTACTGAACTCTTACATAATATCAATCCTACTATATTGCTGGACGATCTCCTCACAGATGAAGAGGAGACTTGAAGTAACTGATCTGGTTCTACAGAAGGATACTGAGAATTCCATGGACAGAGCATTTAAGTAATAGAGAGGTTTTAAGCAAAATGGAAAACAAAAAGGCCACTTGTACTTAGAACCAGAAAGATACATTTGAAATATTTGGGATATGTGAGGAAAATTTGACACTTACAGGACATATTGAAGGAAAAGGAAATTGAAAAACCTGTCTAACAAGTTTGTGCATATGGATGGAAGAACAGGGAGTGGGAGGATATATATATATATATATATATATATATATATATATATATACACACAAGTGTATGTCTTAGAGCTGGTCTTACTCAATACAGAGTCAATATCCGCTATAATACGAATATTGCTAAGAGTTAGAAGGGATGGGAAGTTGTGGAGAGCCATGATCGCCCACGTCCTGAAGAGACGTAGCAGATAGAAGATTACAGTTCTGGAAATGAAGATGAAATAGGTCACATTTGATAATCGACACAATGTGTAGGTTGTCTTTTTACGTGTAAGCAAATTAATTAAGAATAAGTTTTTTATGGAAATTTTGAATTTAAAAATTTATGGAAAGTAGAAAGAAATTTAAATAGGATGAAAATAACTAAAATAATTTAAAACTGTAGAAATTATATAAACTTTCTTTTTAAACAGTCGTTCTTAAGACTTACTTAACAGATGGAAATCGCCCACATGATAGTGATAAAAAAAAGAAATTATTGTGATGTTTACTATTTCAGATGAAGCAAAGTAAATTAAACTTAGGAACTAAAATGAAGATTTGTTTTTTTTGTTTTTTTTTTAAAAGAAAAAGAAGTTAAAATAAGAAAATAATAGGAAAAAGACAACTAAAACGTTTTACTTTATTTGTCGTGTATGTACAAAGCTAGTTTTGAGGTCTAACAAGAAAAAGTTGATTAGTTTTTCTAATTAATTAGGTTAAAATAAAACAAAAGGAAGCATAAGTAAATTATGATTAGTAACAAACAATGTCACTAGTTTTTTTTGTCAAATAAAAAAAATTAAAAAAGGGAAGAAAAATAGTGAAAAAAAAAGCGTAAATTGAGAGTTTGAGTTAAAATTGAACAGCAAAAAAATAATTTAAAAATATTTTTTAAAAAATAAATTAAAATAAAACTCTTTAATTGTTTCTCTTTTTACTTTGTTTGCCTGCAATAAACATTTTTTTTTTGTTTTTAAAAAGACATATGTTACACATTCATTATCAAATCCTCAAACATATGACGAGGACTGATATTTAATTTATTATTTATAATTATTAAAAAACCCAGGAATCCAGATTTCCCCCACTTTTTCTAACTCTCGTTGATTATTTTTAAATAATTTAATTTTTAAACAATAGCCTTCAAGTCCAGAAAGCGGGGTTCAATCCCTTACAAGGACATAGAGAAAAGGTGTATAATTTTTTTTTTAAAACTAATCTTTTTCGGAAAACATTGCCCTTTACACATTTTTTCTTAAACATATATTTTTTAATTTACATCCTTTAAAAAAAAAAAAAAAAAGAAGAGAAACTTCGTTATAAGCGGGGGTTTTTTTTTTTTTTTTTATTTATTTACTTGTCCAGAAATCGTAAGATAAACAATTTAAAAAACAAAACAAAAAAAACCTCCGGGCAGGACTTACCGAGTACGATGACGAAGAGAACAAAACAAAAACAGACAACGAGAATAAATATACGAAGAAAAGTGTCTTTAAAGGTCTGCATTGCTTCTGGTCCTTCCTCAACGTCTTTTTCCCATTACTGAAATACCAAAGAAATGCGGCAAGCCCACCAATGCTGCACACATTGTACCCAATTTTACCATCAAAATGAGTAGAGACGAAAGGATTGATGAATTAAATGAATAATAAAAAAGGGGGATTTATGTGATGTTTTACCACGAAATTTAAAAGACTTTTCAATTTTTTAAATTGATTTTCTTTTTCGTTTCTTCGGTATTAACACCATTTATTTCCGTTTTATCAAAACCGGGTTGGAAGTTTTTTTTTTTCTTTCTTTCTTTGAAAGTTTTCATTTGTTTGGAGAGAAAAGAGATTTTCAAAAGCGTCCGCTTTTCTATCTGATTATTTTTCGCTTATATACAATTTAAATTTATTATTACAATAAGTTAACCTTTTTTTTTTAATCGTAAAGATTTATTGTTAAACTTTTAAATGGTATATTTTTTGTATGGACATTTATTTTTCTGGGTTTTGAATAAATATGATCTTGATTTTTTTCTAGAAATTAACTTTTTAAGAGAATAATTTAACTACAATGCTAAACAGAATAATAAACATTTTGTGCAAATAATTGGTCTATTTGTTCGGTACATAATTTTAAAGTACGGAAATTAAAAATGACCTGAAGATAAAATTGCATTTTTCCCCCCAATTAGAAACTCAATTGATTGCAAACCCCAAATGGATAGAGTACAGTTTGGCATTTATACACATAAATCGAAACTCTACTAAAAAACTAGATTTCCCTTTAAAACAGACACGGGCAACTTTTTTTTCTTCCGAGCAGTGAGCCGCATCACATATGGTTCATCATAAGGCTAGACGCAAAACTAAAAAAGACTCAAGGTAATTTTTCGTTGAAGGCGGTCAGTTATTTTCACTACAGAAGACCATATGCGTAAATATCTGCTTCAGAAACTGGGGAAAAAGAGTTGTTTTTATTTTTTTAAGAAAAGATTTCTCAATTGAAAAAATTGAAGTCTCGGTATCACAGATGACAGAGTAGCACACACTGCTGCATGTGATTTTTTTTCTTATTTATTCTTTCAAAAAATAATTTTTAAAATAAAAAAAAAAAATGTTTTTTCTCTAGAGAAAAAATATGAACGTATAGTTTCTAAAAAGCAAATGATATTTACACACATGATCTTCCTTAATGAAAATCGCCAATGGTTTAATGGCCCAACATGATGAAAACGTTACCTTCAACGTAAAGTTACACCATTCACGAAACATTGCACTTAATCATTGTTTATGGATGTGGTTAGGTGTGAGAAACTGTGAGTGAACAAGTTAGGACGAAACGAAACAAACAAAAGTTTAACAAACATTTTCCTTATGAAATAATTTCATGAGGAAAATAAACGGGTCGCAGTTTGCCCATAAAAACATTTTTTCTAAGAAATGAAAAATTTCCGAAATAATTGAAGGACATATTTAAACTAAACCGGACAACATAAGAAAAATCCATTTTCATAACAACTTCAGTTTCACCGAATTTTAAATGAAAATTTGAATTTAAATAACAAAACATATCTTACATAAAACTTTTCTTTGTAATACTTATTTTTTAATTTTGCTTTTCTTGTATTTCTTTAAAAATTCTTTTATTCCATCAAGTTTAATGTAAATTAACTTCAATATTAGGCAAGGCAAGAATATTTCAATTACATTTTAAGAATTTGCATTTCAAAATAAGTAAAACTGCTGGACGAAACCGGACCGGAAGTAGGTAACTGTATTTCCGCCTTTGTCAATTTACTGCAGGATAGCGCATTCAAGATGGCACTCAGTGAAGTTTGCGGTTTCCAACAGAATTTTTTAAAAGGTGAATTTCAGGCATTGGATTGCCCGTTTTCATCCCATACTTTGGCCAATGATGCATTCTTCGCAGCTGAACACTTAACTCTTCCTAAAAACTTTGATGTAAGTCTGGAATATAAAAGAAAATCCTTTGTTTACTATGATAACGCTTTTTCTATTGATCTCAAAATTGCTTCATCATTGCGAAAAAGAGATTTTTTTTTCGCTTCATTTAATTTATTTTTATTTTATGTTTGCTTACTTTTTAATTATTGTTTAAATATTTTTTATTGAAATTCAACGAAAATATAGACTGAAGTCTTAGAGGGCCCCTGAAAATGAAACTGTAGTATTCGCTATTTAGCTGCTTGGCGGCCCTAAGAAAATTGTATATTTTCTAGTTTAACGTCCTACACGATTCATATAACAAATGTTTAATTAGATTGCTTTACTTAGCCTCATATTTCGACTTCAGATTTTTTTTGTAATTTGGAAGCGAGTCATGACCAAGAATAGGAAATAGTATTATTGTAGTTGATACTAATAAAAACGGCGATTAAGTTTAGCGTTTCAAACCTTTCTTACATTAAAAAATGGTTAACCTTCTTTAAATTTCACATAATTTTTTTTTTTTTTACTCTCATATTCTGATCCCTCTTTTGAATAGGAAAAGTCGTGCATTCTAAAATAAAACAAATAAATCGAAAGAGTAGGTTTCAGCGCTTCAAACGATTTTTTACATACCAAATATTGATTTGTCACCTTTTACTTTGAGATTGGCATCATAAGAAGACATCATTTGGAAAAGTTGTGTATTTGAAATAAAAAAAAATAAAAAAATGGTCATAAATGTAATATAAATAAATTTATAATAAATTATTTCAATTTTTTATGAGTGGACCAGCTTAGTTAGTACCCTTTTTTCAGTTATTTTAAATTTTTTGTAAATAAGAACTGAAATTTAATTCATTTGTGACAGAAAAATATGTGATTTTGAAAAACAATAAATATTGAAAGATGGCTCAAAATATGAGTCTCGTTAAGTTTAGTCTGATAGGAGATAAATTAATTTGGTTGGTATGTGTGTATTTAAAAATAATTTTGAAGTATTAAAATCAACTATAACCATCAGAAAGTGAGGCTAGTCAAAAAAAAAAAAAATTCATTGACTGTAAGGAAGGTAAATAAGTTACTGCTTGGTATGGAGAAATCGTTTGAAATGTTAAACTTTATAATATTTGTAAATTGCATGTTGGGGCAGTATGCTTTGTCTGCTTTTGTGATTATACTTTTATTTATTTATTTATTTTTGCAATAGGCTTAGAGATAAACTATTTAATTAAAAAAAATGAATAAATAATAAATTATTTTTTTGTAAATAAATGAAATAATTTCCTTATAAAATTAACAAAGCTATTAACTCGCCTCCCTACAGTGGTAAGATGTGATATATTTTTGATGTAGCACTGCCTTCAGCCAATGCCAAAAAATTCCCAATCTCTTCATTAATGATAAGGAGAACAGATGTATTCATTTGGACCCAAAGGCAAAGATGCAAAACAATTAATGGGTGTGGACAGAATAAATAATCCATTTACACTTGGTATTTTTATGAACACCACATCGTCGTGGGTATGATGATAAACTATATCAGGCCGTTTTGGGTGCATGGAACCACCTTTTAATTGCTGGTGTTCCCAGGTCGACTCTAATGCGGGTGGTAGCACCTGTTAGGATCCCAGCTATGGCCAAATAGTTAAACCACAAACTGGGGTCAAAACACTATGAAAGTGTAAAAATAGTTTTTAATACCAGAAATACTTTTTAAAAAATTATTACCAGCAATACATTTTTGAAGGAAAAAATTATTACCAGCAATACATTTTTGAAAAAAAAAAAATTACCAGCTATACATTATTTGGAAAAAAAAAACATATTACCATCAATATATTTTGAAGGAAAAAATATTACCAGAAATAGACTTATTTGCTAAAAAAAAAAAAAAATAGATTTCTGTCTACATGCTGTGAATTTATAGTGAAATAGCTTTATTTCTGTGCTGAAAAAAAAATAGAATCATGTTTGTTGTCTCAAACTAAATGACCCGCCCCTCCAAAAAAGAAAAAAAAAAGAAGTGAAATAAGTGCTCTGAATATAAAGCTAGGTAAAGCAATCTACAAAAGCTTTTGGTATACGAAAATCATTTTGGATGTTGAATTAGAAGATGCCATAAATGACTTCAAATATTAAAGAATTTCCCTGAAACAAAGTTATTTGTTTTTATATGATTAAAATCATTTCAAGATGTAAATACCAACTAGTCTCTTTAAAACTCTAAACCATTTTTGGGTTATAAAAAGATTGTAAATCATCAGTAAGTTTATTATAAAAGTGAACATTCTATATATGTTGATATTAGATACAGTCAGGTTATAATTTAGCATTATACATCAGGCCTTGTAAATAGAAATCCCTGCTCTTAAACTTTAACAGGTTTCCAAAGTAATAAAGGTCACTTGTTTAAAAAAAACAAAATAAATGACTTTTATATAGAAAAATATTCAATGTAACCCAACTAAATCTTAACCAAATGACTGATGACATAACAAAATATATTATTCAATGACTCCTGATTAAATTTAGATATTGGTAAAAGTTATTTTTGACCAAAAATGAGTTCAAATGTCAAAACTTGGCCCTCAAATAATTTTGTTCGCCAAACTGTAATGGACTGTGACATTTCATAAATAACATCCTTGACAAATGTCTAATTTACTTTTTTATTAAAATATGAGGAAATTAGCCTGAATGAATTTAAAAAAAAAAAAAACAATGATTAAATTTATTCATTCCAATCTGATAGTCTAATTATCAATTAATATGTAATCTTAATGTTATTTCTACTATTGTTTGTATGCAATGAAAAATTATGATTTTTTTTTTTTTTTTTTTTTTACCAAGGATCAAAGTGTAGTATCTGCCCAATCCCTAATTTTGAGCTAGAATCAGATATAATATCTGACTAAGAAACCAAAACAAGAAACTGAAAAAATAAGGAGGTTGAGGATGGAGACAATAAGAAAATTGTAGAGAAGCTTTTATTGGCTGTGATCTGAAGAAACAAATGAAATATTGGAAACATAAAAATTGTGATGAATTAAAATTCTTAATAGAAAGATAGAACAAAATGTTACAAATTTGTGCATTTCTCAGGCTTTTTTTTTTCTTTTCATGTAAAATTCTTAGAAGAAAACCAATGGCTTCATCTAAAAAGTCTATTTTTTTTTGTTTCATTTCATTCATTTTTGACTGTATTGACAATTCAACTGAAATGCTTAATTTTATTTTTTTTTGTTTTGTCTTTAAATTTTATTTAAAGACAAAACAACAAAGGCTGATGATTATTTTAAATTGTTTTCTTAGGAAGTGTTAAACAATGTGAAGGCTCACATTGATTGCAGAGAATTAGCTGTGGGATGTAAGAGTAAATTGTTAGTCAATTACCGAGTATGAATGCAATAGAAATAAATATAAACATAGAGCAATGACAAGAAAACTCTTCAATTTTATTTGTCTATGGAGAGTTAAAAAGACTAAGTAGATACAGAGACAGGTATCGGTTGAATGAAGTCATACTTCCACAAAACTTAATTTTTTTGTCCATAACTAACCACTAATTCTAATGAACACAAAAAAAATTGACTTTTGTGAAAACCATTTGCGGTCCACACTTAGTCTTGCAAGCTATATTTTGTGTAACTTTGATTCCATACTTTCAGCCTTGTGCCACACCTAAGCTACACTTAGTAAATCTCTTTCTCATATGTGCGTGTTATACAATCTAGTTTTAAGGTATGCTATATTTATGGGTTAAGGTGCTCAGTATCAGGGATAGAGCATATATAAGTATAAAAGTGGTCATTGAAATCAACACCCACAGGCAACAGTCTGTTTCCTGCTAAACACACTTGTCAAGCCATGTGCCATATATGTGTGTGTATATATATATATATATATATATATATATATATATATATATATATATAGGTTCCTCCATTAGGTCACGTAAAAAAAAGCAGCACATCACGATGAATAAAGTTCCATAAATCAATGGAAACAAAATTTTGTCTCAATATGTTTGTTGTTATGAAGAGGAAAGACCAGAGTATTTTTTTTAAGTATTTTTAAAAATTTTTTTACTCCTTCCTAGCATGTAGAAAATTTTGTTTAAAAAATTATTTTTTTTTTTTTTTTTTTACGACAGTGCGAGAAGAGTAAAAAAAGGTTTGTTTTATTTTGCGCTTTTCTCGAGGAAAACACACGTTAATTTAGGAAATTCTTGCAAAAATCAAATAATTGTCGGATTTTAATGAAACTTTCAGTACTTGTTCACAAATGAATGAAATTATTTTTGAAATTTTTTTTTTTTTTTTAGTAAATCTTATTAAAAAGTGATTTTTTTTTTTTTTTTTTTTTTTTTTAACATGTTTCCACCCACTTACATATTTTCATGAAATTTTGAGAAATTAAATCTTTACGTGCAGGATTTGTTTTATTAGTTATAAACAGGAGTCTTTATAGAAAGTAAATCACCAGTTTTTTTTTTTTTTTTTTTTTTTTGTACAACAGTACCCCATATCATAGAAAGTCAGCTCTGAATTATAAAAAAAAAAAAATGTAAAAAAACTATGACATTAATTAATTAGAAAAGCTTTCACCTGTTTTTGTAAATACGTTATACTAAGGACATTATTTTGTGAAGAAATAAAAATTTTTCAATGAATAATGTATTTTTTACAAATTTTTTTCCCATTTTTAGAATTAATACTTCAAAAATCGTTTAAAATTCTTTATTGCTTTCAAGCACATAATGCAATGATAACGTTAATGAAAAAGTAAATTTATGAATCGAAATTTGAAAAGCACATAAGTCGTTTGACCCAAAATATTTTTAAAATAATTTAAAAAAAATTTTATTGAAAAAAAACGTCCATAAATTTTTATGTATGGAATTGTATACATGACATAATCCTTAAAAAAATTTGAAACAATTATCTAATTAATAAAAACAACTTTAAACTATTATCTAATTATAAAGTATGAAATAAAAAATAGATATTACATAATTGCTGAATAAAAGTGTTAATATTTAAAAAGTACTAGTTAAAAATGAAAAACCACGTTCGCTTACTTTGCAAAAATTGTCAATTTTGATCATCCATAGTAATGTCATCACCTCGTCAAGATCAATTTCTTTGATAAATTCAGACACATCGTTAAGAAATGTTTGGATACAAATTTTTATGCTATAAGTAAGTACTGTTTGTTTCATATCAGATTCATTTAACTTTAAATTTTCTAATTTTACTCAAATAACGTGTCAAAAATATATAAATTTATTTTAGGAAGAAATTTAAAATCAAAATTTTGTTTGTTTACAAATTTCTTAAAATTTAAGAAAATGGCCGCTTTTAAGAAAATTAAACAAATCGAGCATATATTTGACATTCCAATCTATATAATTTCTGTCTGAAAGACACCAGAATATATTACTGTAAGTAATAAATTTAATGCTTTAGCTTTCAATTAATAACAACATATTGAGACAAAACTTTGTTTTTGTTGATTTATGAGCCTTTTTTGATAGTGATATGCTGCTTTTTTATGTGACCTAATGGAGGAACCTATATATATATATATATATATAAGCTGTGTTGTCAGTAATGAAATCTAGTTTATAATAAAATTTTGTTTTTGTTCTTGAATGTTAAAAGGGTTCAGATTTTCTGATCACATTGGTTATTTTCTTTACCTTTTTAATTTATTTATTTTATAGTCTTTTATTGTCCTATCTACTTAATAGTTTTTTTCATATTCTCTAACACTCATTAACCCCTTGTGTCCTAGTGGCTTTATTGCCTTGCTTAGAGTAAAATGATTAAAAAAAATAGTTGAAATTTTCAACTTTTCACATACTTAGCCAGAATGATGTATTTTGTACAGTTATTAGCTTAAAGTAAACAATTTAAATTGCACCAATATGTCTACTGCTGATATTGTGAGTAATCTGGATTCCAGTGTCTGGTTAAATTTGTTTTATAATAAAGAGAGTTTCTTGTCTTTGTTTTATGTGTTGAATTGGAATGACATTATATTGAGGAAGAAGATTGTTTCTTTTGTCTTATAAGCTTTATATATATATATATATATATATATATATATATATATATATATATATATGTTTTGTTTTTTTTCAGCCTGTAGAGAATCTGAAACAATTTACAGACGAGAGAAGCCCAGTGAGAATTCGTTTCAATCATGGGACAACAACTCTTGCTTTCAAATTCCAACATGGTGTTATTGTTGCTGTAGATTCTAGGGCCACAGCTGGACCATATATTGGTGAGTTAAGCAAAAGGGTTTTTTTTTGCTTATTAAATGTAGCATTAATAGCTGTGATAATGTTCCTTTTGATACACTTGCTCATACATTTAGTGCAAAATTAAAAACTACAAACAATATTGAATAACTGCTCCAAATGAAGAGTTGATTTTAATTTTCTCTTATTGCATTATTTTTTATTTTATAACTGGAAAGCTGCTTATAATTCATCCAGACTACTATACTGATCTTGGTGAGCATAGTAGTCTCACAATATTTTGGCCTTCTTCATGTATTGTACTTGGTAACCTCAGAACCTTTTCAATCTACTTTCTCATTCCGCTTTCATCATTTAGGGGAGATAATTCCTATGATTTAGGGGTGGTAATTCCTATCAGTTTATACTCCAGTTTTATTCACCTTTTATGTCACTTGTCTGCTTCTTCCATTGAACCAGAGTATGTGAGTTTTCAGCACTACCAGACTCTAGGATTGAACTCACAACTGCCAGGGAACTAGATAAGTTTTAACAATGTGTCTCTTGGAAAATTCAGTGATATCGTTTTGGAGCCTTAAACTTAATGTCTGCATTTAGGTAGAAATTTTGGGATGGTAGGCATTAATGGGTTAACCAGAGGTTCCCATTTTTATGCTTGGTCTACTGATGTGATTATCAGTGTTTAACACGTGCATTGAGTTTTTCAGTCCTCCTCTCCTCCATTGTCCTTTCTGTTATCTCGACTCCTCTCCCTTTGCCTGTCATCTTTGGGCAGCCATACCTGATTTCAGTGTCACTCACAGGCAGCAACCTTTCAACACTCATTCACACTTATTTTAGCGGGGGTCTCCTCTCTCCATTGTATTCCTTGCTATTATACTGTCACTCCAATAGCAATGGATATTGATGCATACTACACACACACACACACACACAGTTGCCTAAAAGTTCTGTTAAAACTATTGCATATATTCAGTCTGTAGTTCTAAATGCATGGTACATTATTTTTGAAATTTCTTTAACTTTTCACCCCCCAAATTCTGATGATTGGTTATTGAAATATTGATTTTTATTTTTATTTTTTTTTAGTTTTCCTAAATGTGCGGCACTGGCAACTTTTCTGCTACAATCTTGTTTGTGAAGTGTATACTTGCATGTATGTCCTTTTTATTTCAGGGAAATATTTAATATACGATCAAGGGAGGACATGATGGCTGAAACATTGTGACAGCAACAATAAAGATTAGGATAACAGTCTGAATATAAATAGTGTAAATAAATTGAATTTGGTAATTTTTGGAAAATTTAATTTTTTGCTTAAATGCTTTTAAATTCAATGTAAACTATGGAAAAGAAAATCTGTTTGTATTTTTGGCAGGGTCTTTTAATTTTGAGGATGTGCTGGGAGAAATTAAAAATTTTCCAAAACAAATCAAATTTTCATCAAAATTTCTGAATTAAGGAAAACTAAATGATTTATTAGATTTGGACAAAATCTTTTTTTTTTTCTTTAAAGAACTGATCAAATTGCAATTTGACAGTAATGCTGTTTTGGTCATGGTTAGTCAAGAAAATCTTGTATATATATATATATATATATATATATATATATATATATATATATATTTTAATTGTTTAAAATTATTTTAAATGGATACTCATGTTTGAGTAGATGCTTTGTTTTTATTTCTTTATTAAACAGCATATTTATTTACAGGTACTGGCCTGAATATTCAGAAAATATGCAACCTCTGGCAGGATTCAAACCTGTTTGCCCTAGTGGAAACCGGAGGATGTCCTATCTGGCTGAACAGCCTAAGGCATATCAAATCTAATGACTGTTTCCCTTAGAGAACACAGGTTGGAATCCTGCTGGAGGGCACATATTTTTCTAACGAGATTTCTCAAATATTCAGGCAGGTAGATGTAAATAAATATACTGTTTAATAAATAGATAAATAACAGAGCATCTACTCTAATATGAGTATCCATTTAAAAGTTGTAATTATATATATATATATATATATATATATATATCATCTTAGAGATGGGTGGTTTAACCAAAAAACCGACTTTTTTTGGTTTCATCTTCACACTGTAAAACTGTATCAATTTTTTATGGAACTGAAATTATTTTTTTTAAATTTTTTTTTAAGTGCTATCACTTCTGAGTGACCATATCCAAAGAAACACTATTGAAAAGACTTTCAAATGTTAATAAAATTAACCATTTTATATGTAAGAGAAAAAGATTGGACAAAAGTATGTTAAAAACACTTAATTGACTAGTGTAGGAAATAAATATGAAATCTATTTGTTTACAGAAGAAAATGAAAAAAAAAAAGGAAATATGACATGACGCCTGAAATCTATTTGTTTCAGTTTTGAAAAAAAAAATTTGTTTTGCGGTAAAATTAAGTTAACAACAAAATAGCAAGTAAAAATAAAAAAAAAAATATTGTTGCCAGTTTCGTGTTAATTTTAAATTTTATGAAGTTAGATTTTTTGTAAGGGTTTTCTTGTAAGATATTACGCCAATCATTTCGCATTTTCGGCTGTTCAAAACAAAATACTGTTTTTTAACTTGTAAAAAAAAAAAAAATAACTGAATAAAGGCACATTCAAATTACATATTTAGAAATATTTTATTTTCTTTCCTACCATATGAATATTTTTAACTAAGATTGGACCAGAAATACACAAGAGTCTGTGAGTTGAATAGACTAAGTTCCATCAAAATTATTATTCATACTCGCTATGAAGTTCTTGAATTTCTAAGTTAAAAAAAATTTGGTTAGTGAAAGAAAATTCTGTAGCTGATTCTTGATAAATATTTGTGTTTCAGCCTCACAAACTGTGAAGAAAGTCATTGAGATCAACCCATATCTTTTGGGCACCATGGCTGGTGGGGCAGCTGATTGTTCTTATTGGGAGCGTGTTCTGGCCAGACAGTGCAGGTGGGTAGAAAACTTTTTTTTTTTCTTTTTTTTTTCTAATTGCTAAAGCATTTCCTACAAGTCAATTCCTAAATGAGATAATTTTTGAAAACGTTTTTAACCAAAACCTTTTCTCTTTACTCTTTAAACTAAACGGCCACTTCATATTTCTGTTTTCATTTTCCTATAAAAGAAACTCATTTTGTAGCATTCTGTTGATGGTTTCCATAATCATTTATCTATATATAAAATTCTGTGCCATACATTGACTGATCAAAATCAAATTTGACAACAGACTACTATAATGTACCATGTTTGGAACAGGACAGGTGGTATTAATCCCAAGAATAAAACTTATTACTAAACCATCCAAATATGCTTTCGAATGGGCAAGGATCCAGTTTCTAGTTTGCCTAGCATTCACAAGGCCAAATGCTTCAAAAAGTTGAAATTTGGATCCAGAAAGAAATATTTATGCCTGGCCAGTTGTATGTTGCATGCTCAAGAGTATGAAATCTGAAGAATTTATTCTTTGCTGTTAAATAGAAAAAAAAAAAAAATTTTCTTAACAAAAATATTATTTCGATGAAGTCCTATAAAATTAAAAAAAAATTATTAAACAATAAAGTAGGATTTTTGTCTAAGTATTTTTCCAGCTTATTCAAATTAAGATTGGTTTGCAAAATTGAATGAGATATAGTTTGTAAATCTCAATAAAAAATTTTAGCAATAATGTTGACAATACTCAATACTGAGAGAATTTCAAAATACATCTGTGTTTCAAAAAAAATTCTGGTATGTTTAGAAGGATCGTCAACATCTTTGTCATCCCAGCACTTTATGATGGCAGTAACTCTTTCTTGAAACCCGTTGCTATGTAGGACCACCCCCATACTGGAAAATGAATACAAGCTAAACACAACCAGAACAAAAAGAAAAAAAATTCATTTCCAATGTAATTTATCATGTGGCACTATTTAAATTAACTGGTCTGCTCATAAAAAAAAATCTTTTTTTAATTTTTAATCAGTTCACTCCAAAGCAAGGCAATAAAGCCACTAAGACACATGGAATTGCCGAGTGTAAAAGAATAGGAGAAAAACAAAACCTTATGAAAGAGGGAACAATAATAAAAGAATCGGAATTAAGACATAACAGAAACAGCGCATGAATTTATTTTTGCTATCAATTTTTTAACGCAGTTATCTCCCTTGCATCGTTTGTCAGTTGAGCAAAGCTGGTAACAGACCAGTGATTTTTTTTTTTTTTTTTTTTCTTTCTTAATATAGACGCAAATATTAACTAAAATAAAATCCCCATGTAACAAAATACATTATAAAAAAAAAAAATAATCTGACCTCAGGAAAACTGTTGGTTTTTCTGTAAAGAACATGGATTGAGAAACCAAAGCTGCTGTGACATTTTTAGCTGCTGAATTTTATTAAAATTGTGGGAAAATTACATATACCTAAACTTCTCACATGCCACTCAAGAGTTTGTCATTTTATGACAATGTTCAACCACGGACTGCAAGAATAATGTGAAGAGATTAGTCCAAAATGATATATTGTAACATCTGTAATGCACAGCTGTTTGAGGTTTCCTATAGCCCCACTGAACTTAAATAAAGTCAATTCAGGTTTGCTATGGTAAAAATTTTCTATCCCAAGTAAAAATCATCACAAAAATGGCAAAAGTCATTTTGTCACAGCTTATTTTCTCTCACAAAATGGATTTTCATACTTTTATAAGGGTAAAATATTGAAAAAATGACTGTTTTATCTTTATTTGAACCCCATGAAACTAGGTATTTTCTGAAAGCTGAAGATATATTCTTTCATTTCAAAGTAGAATTGGCTGGTGTAAATGACTGAAATTTTTTCAGGGGGTAAAATGTGAAAAAATAGTGAAAATTTTGCATTTTTTTTTTTTTTCTAGTTCTTAACAAATTTTCCCCATTAATGGAAAATTAATCTTTTTTTTTTTTTTTTTTTTTTTTTTTTTTTTTTTTTTTTTTTTTAATCAGAAAGTCTAAATCATAATCAGACTATTTCAGGCATAAAATTAAGAGTTTTGAAGGGAATCAACATTCCTAGGGGGTCAAAATGTGACAAAGTCCATTGATGATCTTCAATTATATGACTGCTAGGGGTTAAAAAAATTGACACCTGGCCATGGAAAAGGCAAAGTAAAAGGCGAAAGATTTATCTGCAATTCCTGACCACCAGAAACTAAAAGAAAAATAGCAGCAAGAAGGAAAATTAAGCCAAATTGACTTTGACATGTGTGGGTCAAAGGTCAGCCAGTCAACAATAAACATTTAGAACAAGCTGTCGTCAGCTTATAATAAAAACCTACCACTCCAAGATAAGAGCAAAGAGTGAAAGAAATGGTCAACATTGGTAGGGCTTGATATATTTTTTTTTTTTTTTTTTTTCCAAACCTATATTTGAATAATGGCTTGATGTGTTGTATTTTGTTTTTAACACCTCGTGACCCGGGTGAAGACAACAACACTTAGCAGACAACATTGTTTTTTTGTTTTTTTTTGATGCATGTCTTTTGTATTTCCCATTGCCAGGCCATTTAGCCATTCCTTTTATTCAATGATGTTAACACCAACTTAAGGATGAATGATATTATTTTGAAGTGAAAATAAATATTTTTTCATAAAAAAAAAAAAAAAAAAAGCGGTTTTTCTCAGAAAATTGGGCATAATTTCTTAATGCTAACCCCCCCGAGTGACATTTTTCACAGCCAAATCGAAGATTAATTACCAGTGAATAATTCCATGTGCAAACAATAGCCGTCTGGGTCCTATAATGTGGCCAGAAAACCTCCAAAAATTTACTTATTGATCAAAAACTTGTTTCACATAGTTGTGTTTTTCACAGTCAGTTTCCATTATTTCATCTTGATGGTGTCATTTTTGGACAGCCAAGTCATCAAGGATTCAGGAAAACAGTTTGGCACAGGTTTACTTTAAGAACTTTATATTCTATGAGGTGTTTAAAATGTTACTGACGAATGGGATTTTTCGCTGTGTCATGTTGGATTTTCCTATATGACAAAAAACAGGTTTTAAACAGCCATGAATGATTTTTATTTTTTCCATTTGAAAATAACTTGTATTGATATTTTTTATCTTTTTTTTAATTAATGCCATGCCATTTTAATATACTGAATGTTTTCCATCTTTTTTTTTTTTTATTTCAAGGATTTATGAACTGAGAAACAAAGAGCGTATTTCCGTGGCTGCTGCCTCAAAATTATTAGCCAACATTCTCTACAATTACAAAGGCATGGGACTTTCATTGGTTGGTACTTTCTGCTACACTCTTTCTCATTGGTTACTAATTAAAGTTGAATTTTCATAGGCTGAAAAAATGTAACCAAGATGGTATCATACTTGTGTTTTGCCCCCCCCCCAACCCCAAAAAACAAAACAACACCTGTGTTGTCAGTTTTCTTGATAGGGTCAGGAAACAGGTTTTGACATAATTATATGTCCTCTTTAACAAATTGATTTGTATGGAAATAAAATGGAAAACTTTGTAATCTTCCTGGCATCGAGTCTTGTCAACTCTTGGTAAAGTCTAAGCCTATTTTTTTTTTTTTTTTTTTTTTTTTTTTTCTTTTTTTTTGTTTCTGGTGACTGTAATTTAATTCTTTCATGAAATTTGAAATAATTTATGTCTGATTAAATAAAAGGAATCCTGTCTTTCTTGTCACTTGTATCCTTCATCCTGGCTGCCTGATCGGAGTGTGGGTGTGTGCATGCATGTAATATACGCATGTGTTTTCACTATCCTTCGGATTAAATATTGCATACCCATCACGAGTCTATTGCTATTTCCATGGTAAATATACAAATTCCACCCGTACTTTATAATTTTTGCCCAATGCCCCCTCTTCACCATAAGTCATCATTGTCATCCCACTTTCCAAGATTGTCTGACTCAAAAGTTGCATTCCAAATAATATGCATATATTATTGAAAAGAAATCTTCATTCTTTTCCATATTAATACATAAACAATTACATGGATTATTTTTGTAGCGGAGTTTTACAAATTTAATAGAAATAGAAGATGTAAACTTGAATACATGTAGAATAATTTGTTTTAATTTGTGACTAATTATTAAATAAATAAACTGAAACTTCAATAAACCAAAAGTTCAATTGAATGCCAGGGTTTTTAAATTGATTTTATTCTGATGAAGATTACAGTCAATGAGAAACTTGTGATAAATATAAATTCCCCAGGGGGAGAACTCCACTGTTCTAGACTGGCAGCTTTGAACTTGTATGGATCACACTGTTGTCCTTGTTTCACCTCCTCTGCTTGGTTTGTTGTTTTAATATCTATTATTTTCATTGTTATCGACGTTATTGTTATTACAAGTTAATTTGTGCCATAATTTTTTTTTTTTTTTTTTTTAAGTATTTGACATTTTGTAAATACAAATTACTATTCATTTATATGTGAATCCAAATTAATTATAGGCATGAATAACTTATAATGTTTTATTTATTAACTTTCAAATAAGAGAGAATTGTTTCTACTATTTCCACCAGTTTAGGCATTTACATAGGTACCTCCACGAGATCGCTAAAAAAAGAGCATAGCATGATGAAAACGACGCCAAACTTGACGAAAACAAAATTTTATCGTCTAAATGTTTGTTATTATTAAGAGGAAAGGTCAAAGTATTTTGGGGTATTTTTTTCCATTTTTAATCGTTCTAGCACGTCCAAAATTTTCGTCAAAAATCTAGTTTTTTTTGAGTCAGCAAAATTGACCATTTTTTTCCATTTTAAAAAAAACTGAAATCTGACTTTGAAATTTTTTAAATATCAATTATCATTTTTTCAAAACTTATTTTAAGAAAATCAGAAATTATAATGTTTATTTAAAATATTTTGAACCAAACTTAACTTAGCTTTTGTGCCAAAAGATGAAATTTGAAAATAAAACAAAGCAGGTCATAAACTTTCGCGTCTCTTGACATGTGATGAATGATATATTTACGAATTCCATGAGGCTAATTTGTTCTACAGAAGGAGAAAAGCGAAATAATTTACATTTACGTGAACAAATTATTTACCCCGTTATTTTTAACAAACTTTCAGCGGTCTAATTTTTTTTTTTTTTTTTTTGTACTTAGCTTTCACCTTTATGTTTATGATGCTTTATGGGAAATATATTCTAAAGAAATTAAAATAAAACTGTTAAGAGTGACATTAAATTTCATATTTCTTAAGAAAGGTATCTAATTAATTTATAGGTACCTTTCTTATGAAATTTTATCAGAATTGTACATACAACAACCTCATTTAGTAACCCTCTACCTTGAGTGGCTCTTTATCGTATCTGTTAAAACATATTTTACTTATTGGAAATATTATATTTAATCTATTAGCTTGAAATTAAAACTAAAATAAAAGCGAAAGAAATATTTATCATTTTTAAAAATTAATTTTCAAACTTAGGTACCATGAGTCTGTGGAAGCACCTATATGAATCCCCCCCCCCCACAACTATGGGTAAATAGCAAGACAGACTGTACCCTATAGCCCTGGTTGGCAAGCAGTCTAGGAGAAGGAAAACACTGAATTCTAACTACCTACTGTCTTGAGGTGTGAAATTGTAATTTAAAAAATTTATTTTGTTTCAAATGTTATTTTTTTTTTTTTTTAACTTTATTTCACTTAATTTATCTTTTGTTTCATTTTCCAGGGCACAATGATTTGTGGATGGGATAAGCGTGTAAGTAAATTTTATCTTTTCGTCAAAATGTAAAATCTATGTTCAGTTTTTTCATTAGATCTTTGACTTTAAGTTGTGATATGATTTCTTGAATTTGTTTTGTTTGTGACTTAACTTTCATGGCTTTATCTTTTAGGGGCCTGGTCTATATTATGTTGACAGCAATGGAGAAAGGATATCCAATGATGTCTTCTCAGTAGGTTCTGGCTCAACCCACGCTTATGGTGTATTGGATACTGGTTATCGTTATGATTTAACTGATGAGGAAGCTTATGATTTAGCCAAGAGATCCATTTATCATGCAACACACAGAGATGCATTCAGTGGTGGGGTTGTTAATTGTAAGTATTTTTCCATTTGAAATCTCTTTTGCGTGTAAATACACTTGTTAAAGAATTAAAAGGAAAGGAGATTAACTTTACCAGAAGTGAATGAACCAAGAATCATGGTTGATTGTTTTTTTTTTTGTTTTTTCATTGCCAAAGAATATCAAAAGATGTTGACGTATAACAAGTTCAATATTGTAGCCTGTATTGAAATAGGTGGCTATAAGTTTAGTTAACTTTCTCTTTTCATTCTTCATTTAAATTGATTGTTTGCAATGCATTCTATTGAACATTTGAAAGTTAATTTTTGTCTTTGTTTTCATAAATACAAAACTGATTTTATAAATAAGATTGTTTTTATATATATATATATATATATATACACACACACACACATTCATTCTCACTCCTTAATATTTTTATTTTTTTTTTATATTATTTCACTTTCAGTAAGCACTTGTCTTAGTGGCTTTATTGCCTTGTTTGGGTGAAATGGTTAATATATGTATATATTAGGGAAATCTGACACTTTGAGGAAGATCTACAGGATGAAATGTATCACAAAACTTTTTCCGCTTTGTCATATTCCTTTAAAAGTTTGTTTTTACATTTTATATATATATATATATATATAGTGTATATTTTGGCAGGATGTTTTTATTAAGACATGTCTCATTAAATAATTTAGGCAAATTTTGACTAATTATTTTTAATATGATCCTCTCTTAATTACAGACAAGTTTCTTAGTATCCTTATTAAAGGAAGAAAGAAAATAACCATGTTGATGCATATTTATTTTATTCCGAGTATTTCGACATTAGCACAATGTCATCAGGGTCTTGTTTTTTCTAACACGAAAAATTGTTGTGTTCATCGGAAAATTAAATTTTTTTCTTGTGGAGTGAAAAACACTAAAGTGTACAATCTTTAAATTTATGTAGACGCATGTGCAAACGTCAAGGGAGGTAACTAAGTTATTGAAATGTCTAAATATTTTAAAAAAGAAAACTAATCTAAAATTATGAGTTAAAAACTAAAACATTTGTGAATAATTCATAATTTTATTTAGGGTTTGTTTCAATTTTTTTTAATATAGATAGCTTCAAGACTTTTTAGTTTATTTTTGTGAAAAAGTATAGATGTATTTTCAACAAGATTTTTTTCTAAATTGTGAATTTGGACAGACCTGCTGTTGTAAATGTTGAGAGATGTTAGATGCATCATTGAAACAAAATCTCAACCTTTGAGACAAGGTAGTAGTGGTATAGCCAACTTATATATTATTTTTTCTGTTGAAAATAAAATCTCCCAAGGGATATTAAAATTTATATACAATGTTTGTTTTCTGCAATGCATTAGTTGGTGGGGAGGTGTCATTATAAATGATTAAATTGGATATATTGAATTTAGCATAGTACATAATTAATTTTATATTAGTATTTATTTATTTTTTTAATATTAATTTTTGTCCTGTTTAAAATGTATTTGATTGTGATATAAAAGATCAGTTTATTTAGGGTTAATTGAAGAAGTATTACATTCTGTTTGCTTTATATTAAAATTTCTAATAGAAAATCTTTTTTGTTCATCAACAAGATATTATAGGAAAGCTTGTTTTATAATTTTTTAGTTCACTGTAGAAAATCTGACAAATTATATCAGATTATGGACACTCGTGCATTTTTCTGCTTGATGCGCCTTTTGAAGTTCAGTTGTCTAAGTGACATCGGTTTTGACTGAAGGAGAATGGAAAGTAAAGGAGTGGATAAGGGGTTTTTGAAGATAAAGTGGCAGCAAAACCAGAAATAGGGTATATCCGTTTGCTGATCTATAAGTCATAGATCAAGGCGAGGATAAGTCTGCCCTTGGTGAGAGGTAGACATGCCTGTTGAGCGGTTCCAAAGCTTCCATTCGTATTACTATTCACCATGTCAGGATGAGTAGATGGTGTGAAAGTTGGTAGCAGGAAGAGCTGACAAAGCAGAAGTTGTTCAGAGTATTGCCTACCTACTCACTTTGATGAGCAGGTGAAGTCCTGAATAAACACCTACACATAATATGGGAAACAAGGGTCATGATCTTGTTTCTCAACACAACATTTGTAATTCATCCTCTCATCTTGTGAGCATGCATTATGCCCATTCCCAGTTTTCTGTGCACACACCAATGAAATGGAGGATTGAAATGCAATGTAGAATAATCATTGACCAGTAGGTAAAATGCAATGTGGGGGTAATGATTGGCTGGTTGGTGGTAAACTTGGGTGCACATGAATAATTAGGCATTTTAGTAGTTTTTCTCAATAATCACAATTATAATTACAAGTAGTTTCAATTATCAAATGTTTTCAAAATTACTTTTCCTAAAAGGAGCAATAAACTATGTAGACATTTTCTTGTTTATCATTTTTGCTCTCTCTTTTTGCTCTCTCTTTTTGCTCTCTCTTTTTGCTCTCTCTTTTTGCTCTCTCTTTTTGCTCTAGTGTCCATTTATAAAATTTTGTTCAGAATGAATTGTCTTGTAAATAAATTCAAAGTATTTATTTCTTTTCAGTGTATCACATGAAAGAAACAGGTTGGGTGAAAGTTTCCCAGACTGACGTCTTGGATCTGCATTACCAATATCAAGGCGAGAAATCGAAATGAGGAAATTTATGTTTCTCTTCAGCTATCAGTTTCACTTTGTTGTAGCACTTGACATTTTTCCATTAAAGAACTGCAATATAACTTGAATCAAATTTTGACAATTTTCTTTTACTTACAAAAAAAAAGTAAAAAGTGGTGTGAGCTTTGGAATTGAGAAGTCTTATTAGACCCTAAAAGTATTTCCTTGTCTCATTTCTAATTTTAGTAATTAGAAGTATTCTTTGAAAATAATATCTTGCATACACATTTGTTTTAGAGACAATCAAATCTATTAACTTTTCTTTTTAAAATAGGTCTTTCATATATAAATAATATTTTTTAAGTTGAAAGATATTTATAAATATAATTTAAAAAAAAAAAAAAAATCAAATTTAAAATTAATAAATTAAAAGTAAATATTTAAAATGAAAAAAATCAGATTTAAAATTCATAATGTTCTAAAATAAATATAGCCTGAAGCAAAATTTTAAAATATTTAAAAAAATGTCTCTTATATAGATAATAAAAATAGATAAAATTACTGTTTGACTTGTATATTTTTTATGTTTTTTTTTTTTTTTTTTTTTTTTGTGTTATTCCAACTTTGAGGTCCTTTTTACATTCTCTGACCTTTTAGCAGCATGGATCAAAAAACAAATCTCCATAAAATTTGAACTTGAAGCCCTTTTCATTGTGACCTTTTCGAAATGACCTGAGAGGTGCACGAAAGAAAAAATAATTAACAAAATGCTTCATTTTAAGAACTTCAAAGCCTATTTTGATATGTAGGTTAAATTATTTTCACAATCCCAAAGTGTTCAACCATTTTTTAATGTGCAGAATTTTCTTTCATTATTTTGTTTCCATTGGTTGTGATTTTCTTTCTTTCTTAAGCTCAATTAAAAGCAAGAATTTTGCCGATTTTCATGGGACAATGTGGGAAATTAATGCAACGTCTTTTTATTCTCATTTGACTTTGTATACAATCTTCAGATAAACTTAATAAAACAGACTAAATATTTTACTAGGCATAAAAAAATTTAATCATCAGTTATGTGCCATGAGTGGTATATGCTTAGGCGATCATCTATCTTTTGATACATGACTGACGAGGCAGATTTTTTTTTCCTGCACTTGCCATTTCTTTCTGTGGTAGACCAGTTGCCATCCAAGGCTATAGAATCCAGTCTGCCCTGCTACTTACACATAACTTGGAGGAGAAGAAGAGGATTCATACCTTTCCCAAGGGTATTAGCATGTAAGCGAATGTAATGGATTTGACCAGAATTTGAACTTGGATCTTTGATTCCTCAATCCGCGCTGCTATCCATTACCCAATCGTGCCTCCTCCAAAATTTAAGTGCAATAAAAACAGATATTAAAATCAAATATAAAAAACAAAAGATTTATTGTTACCTTAAAGACAAAAAAAAATATTAACTTGTTTTCATTCCACTTCTGTCAAAGCTTGGCAGACGGCTGAAAAAAATATTCACAAATAAAATAGAAAACCACCATAGACCTAATGTTAAAGTAAATACATAATATTTCTTGGCTAACTGGCATTGATGATTTTCTATTTGATTTTGCTGGGTACCTTTTTTTTTTTTTTTTTTTTTTTTTTTAAAGTCAACAATAGAACTCTGACATAAGAGGAATTAAAACTGGTTTTTATTTATATTTATATTTTTTTCTTTTATTTATGCCCATTTGTAGAAGTCAAATGACTTACCTGCTAACATGGCTGCCATCTTGTGTCTATTTGCAGTTATTTTCCAAGTGTAGCTTAGATGTGGCACAAGGCCGAAAGTATGGGTCACCCAGTGAGGATCGAACTCACTACTCAGTTGTAACTGTTTTAGCGAGAGAAGCTTGCTAACCATTACACCACCTCAAGGTGCCCTCTTGTGTCTATAATCTACCTCATTTATAGGAGAGTTCCTAATACAGCAGGTGGGTTAGTCCATTTTACTAGAATGGACCTTCCCACTACATTTGCATGAGTGGACTCTATTCACCAATATATCTCTCCATCAAATCACACAGGGATTGAACTTGAATTGACTACACCATTCTAATTGTGTGTCAGACTCTGCTTGCAAACTAACCAATATTCCACACCCATTTTTATTGCCTCTGCCTCTAAACTCCACTGTGCCTCTGAGGCACGCTGGAGTAATGGATAGTGGCTTAGATTGAGGAATTGGAGAGCCGAGTTCGAATTCTAGTTGAATCCACTAGGTATGAATCCTCTTCTTCTCCCTCCAGCTATGGGTAAATAGCAGGGCAGACTGGGTTCTATAGCCTTGGATGGTAACTGGTCTAGGAGAAGGAAAACTCTGAATTCAAAACCTGCGGAGGGTCGTTTGGGGACCTTTGGCACGAAGTGCACCAGGTCTCTGTATTAAATCCCTTCAAAAAGTGTGGATGGTCCTGCACGAAACCTTCACCACTATAATCAAATCTCATGTGCTATACATGCGGTTGGGAACCGCTTGTGAATTCCAAATTCCCATGAAACTTCAATATTGGAGCCAGCTCAATCCACCTCGGGTGAATGTCGTTACAAGTACAAGAGAGAACATTTTTATTGAAGTTATTGAATCTTAACCTTGAAAATCAGCAATTTCAAATCTGCTTTTAGTTGAGCTTCAACACTGACCACTAGTGTCAAGATGAAATCGTTTTTCCATGTACATTAGAACCTGATTAAATGAAAACAACTTTGCAAAATATATTTCAAAGGAATATCTATAATATAATACACACATACACACACAATGTTGATCCTAGTCAATAGCTAGTTGGGTGACCACATGGGAATACCAAGTGCTGTAAGCTTGGATGTGCAGGTGGTGTAATGATAATGGCTCATTTGTTAATTGGACAGCCGAGTTCCAATTCTAGTTGGGTTTGTCATATTCACTTAGTTGCAAATACTTTTAGGAAAGGTATGAATCCACTTCTCCTCCAATCTAAGGGTTAATTAGTAAGACTAAGACTAAAACGATTACCTCCAAAAAGAAACCTTTAGAATCTAAAAATATTTTTTGGCTTTAAATAACCTGTAAAGTGGAATTAATAAAGAATTAATAGATTCTATTTTAGAAGTGACATTCTTATTCAAATGTTATTTTTAGTGGATATCCGTTTCTGAGTATATGAAATAATATTTAAAATAAAAATGAGTGTCTACTCACATGGTTATCCACCAAAGTGATCATTATACTAGGCCTGGCAACCCAAGTGACTGGGATCCACAACTGAGGGCAGACATGTGAAGACCTATATTACTAAATAATTACTGAGAACATTTTTAGCAAGGAACTTGTTAATAATGTCCAGTAATTAGTTAATTACCAATTATACATAATATTAGAAAGCGGCTTACAATTATTGACTTATTTCCATAAATGTACAAACAAAGTACAAAAATAACCTCTTCCACCATACAAATAACTAAATGCACAAAAATCAGTTTATTTACCATAAATAAGACATTTTTAGATGATATTGCAAATAATGAGTTAATTTGTTTAAACCTATTCATTACAGAAAATATAAAATTGTATAATACAATCAGAAAGCAATTTTAATATTTTACAAAATTGTGTATCAATAAAGCCTGAAAAATACTTTACAAAAAATGTAAATTTCACAGAAACAATAATTTTGATAATATTTACAAAATTTATTGTGAGTTCTGTTACATGTACAATTTGATTCACAGAAGATGAAAAAAAATACTTATTTCACTGTGATACAATAATAGATATCAGTATGTGTAGTTCTAATAAATAAAATTAATTTACATTAACAAGAACACAAAATTAACTCACAGAATAATTTGAGATGTTAACGAATTAAATATCTAAGTGGGGGGAGGGTATTGAAAATAAAAAAAAATATCTAGTAAATATTTCTTTGAATGGATAAGTATGACTTTAATTCAGCATCAAACATTTTTATTACTTGAAAAAATATGAATTTTTAATAGTGATTGTGTAGTCTTAAAGAGAATTTTATCAACATTTTTATCTTCAGTACCTGTGTGGCACCTTGCATTATTAGAAATATTCATAGAAATATGATTTAATTTTTTCTTACTCGGTTTACTAAACAGGTTGTTGATTTTTTTTAAAACGGAAAATAATTGAGTTGAAAATAATTCACTAAGATTGTACTTAGACGATCCTAAGGGAAGAAGAGGAAGAAAAAGAGAAAAAGCAAAAGAGAGAGGTCGAGAAATACAAAAAGCGGTCATTAACAAAAACACGAGTCAGAAAGATATCTTGGCCTGCGTGTGGCCGAATTTTTTAAAGACAATTGGAAGAATAGAATTAGAAATAATAAAAAGAAAGAAAGGGAAAAGACATGATATCAAAACGGGCCGCTTGATGAAAACCAGATATCGGTCAAAACATCTGACCTACTTTTTGCGTAGAAAGACTCATTATCAATTTGGAGTAAAAGGAAATTTTTTAGAACAATAGAAACGAAATTTTTAATCGGAGAAAAAGTGTCTTTTTTTGGGTTGAGGGGAGTGACCGGTGGAACTATATACAGATCCTGACCTATTAAGAATTAGAAACCTACGATAATAAAGTGGGAACATTTTCAATGTAGATAATTAAGATTTTCTGACTGTCGGGTCTGACAAAAACAAGAGGTGAAAAAAAACGATTGTCTCAGTTCACAGATAGCGCCAATATTCTTCCCTGAAGTCACATCTAATTAGCGGCGGGCTGGTTGACAGAGCCCAGGTGAGAGAAAGCCAAGATTGTCATTTTTCGTACGTGCAGAAAAGGCAAAATTGGATTTTGTTTTTTTAAAAACAAGAACGATGTAACCCCGCCCGAAAGGAGGAGAAAGGATGCTCGATCAATAACAATTGGTCGGAAACGGTCACGTGATCTGCAGAAAAGAAGAGAAAGAAATGCCCGATCAGGAACCATTGGTCGAAAAACGGTCACCTGACATACGAGAGACTAAGAGAGATGGGTGCACCTCCCACAAAGGGC